ATTTCTAAACAATACTGTAGTGTACTTTTTTTAAAGAATACGTCATCTGACGTATTCATGAACAGAGGGTTTATAAAGCCCCCCAAAGGGGAAAAAAAAGACGGTTTTTTGTAGCACTGGTTTGACGAACAGCAGTACTTTCCCGTAGGGTTTGCGTCTCCCAACCCTGTTACCTGGAAGAGGAAGTGGGTAAGTAGAAGACCTGTCACCAAATAAGTGGATGTTAAAAGCTTCCATTTAACTTTTAGAGTATAACTTAAAGCTTCTCCTAAAGCAAAATTTTTTTATTTTAATGAAGGCTTACATTTTGTGTTTAAAAAGTTTAAAACCATCGACAGAGATGGCCCGTCTGCCATATAATATAATAATAATAAAATTTAAAATAAATAATAATCCCCTTTTCAACAAGTACATGATAAAACTATTCAAAACCTACTCTAAACCGTAAGGTTATACAGTACCTGGGGCATGGGAAATAGTTTGATTCAAGGATGGGTAAGCATTTTTTCCTAATTCTTTAGGTCAAGAGTCCTTCATACGTAAAGGGGCCCCTTTCCCTTAAAGGGAAAGTCTCCCACAAGATCAAGGCACCTCCCCTTGAACGAAGTTACCACAAGATCAAGGCCCCTTTTCCCTTGAACAAAGTCTACCCACAAGATCAAGACACCTCTCCCTTGAACAAAGTTACCCAAAAGAAAAGGCCCTCTCCCTTGAACAAAGTCTACCCACAAGATAAAGGCACCCCCCCTTTAAAGGGAAAGTCACCCACAAGATCAAGGCCCCTTCCCCCTTGAAGGAAGTCTACCCACAAGATCAAGGCACCTCTCCCTTGAAGGAAGTCTACCCACAAGATCAAGGCACCTCTCCCTTGAAGGAAGTCTACCCACAAGATCAAGGCACCTCTCCCTTGAAGGAAGTCTACCCACAAGATAAAGGGCCCCTTTCCCCCTTGAAGGAAGTCTCCCCACAAGATCAAGGCACCTCCCCCCTGAAGGAAGTCCCCCACAAGATCAAGGCACCTTTCCCCCTTGAAGGAATTTAACCCACAAGATCAAGGCCCCTTCCCTGAACAAGTCTACCCACAAATCAAGACGCCTCCCCTTGAACAAAGGTCTACCCAAAAAGATCAAGGCCCCTCCCCCTTGAACAAAGTCTACCCACAAGAAAAGGCCCCCCTTCCCCCTTTAAACAAAGTCTACCACAAGATCAAGGCACCTCTCCCTTGAACAAAGTCTACCCACAAGATCAAGGCACCTCTCCCTTGAACAAAGTCTACCCACAAGATCAAGGCACCTCTCCCTTGAAGGAAGTCTACCCACAAGATCAAGGCCCCCTCCCCCTTTAAAGGAAGTCTACCCAAAGATAAAGGGCACTCCCCCTTAAAGGAAGTCTCCCACAAGATAAAGGGCACCTCCCCCTTGAAGGAAGTCTACCCACAAGATCAAGGCACCTCTCCCTTGAAGGAAGTCTACCCACAAGATCAAGGCACCTCTCCCTTGAAGGAAGTCTACCCACAAGATCAAGGCACCTCTCCCTTGAAGGAAGTCTACCCACAAGATCAAGGCACCTTCCCTTAAGGAAGTCTACCCCAAAAGATAAAGGACCTCTCCCTTGAAGGAAGTCTCCCCCACAAGATCAAGGAAACCTCTCCCTTAAAGGAAGTCTACCCACAAGAACAAGGCACCTCTCCCTTGAAGGAAGTCTACCCACAAGATCAAGGCCCCTCTCCCTTAAAGGAAGTTACCAAAGATCAAGGGCCCCCTCCCCCTTAAAGGAAGTCTCCCCACGATAAAGGCCCCTCTCCCTTAAAGGGAAGCAAACCCACAAAATAAAGGCACCTCCCCCCTTGAAGGAAGTCTACCCACAAGATCAAGGCACCTCTACCTTAAAGGGAAGTCTACCCACAAGACGGGGCCCCCTCTCCCTTGAAGGAAGTCTACCCACAAGAAAAGGGGCACCTCCCCTTGGGGAAAAGTCTACCCACAATCAAGGCACCCTCCCTTAAACGAAGTCTCCCCACAAATCAAGGCGCCTCTCCCTTGAAAAAAGTTACCCACAAGATAAAAGGCCCCGCCTCTCCCTTGAACAAAGTCTACCCACAATCAAGGCACCTCCCCCTTGAACAAAGTCTACCCACAAGATCAAGGCACCTCTCCCTTGAACAAAGTCTACCCACAAGATCAAGGCACCTCTCCCTTGAACAAAGTCTACCCACAAGATCAAGGCACCTCTCCCTTGAACAAAGTCTACCCACAAGATCAAGGCACTCTCCCTTGAACAAGTCACCCACAAGATAAAGGCCCCTCCCCCTTGAACAAAGTCACCCCAAATCAAGGCACCTCTCCCTTGAAAAAATTTAACCACAAGATCAAGGCACCTCCCCCTTGAAGGAAGTCCCCACAAGAAAAGGGCCCTCTCCTTGAAAAAAGTCTCCCACAAGATCAAGGTCCCTCCCTTAACAAAGTCTCCCAAAATTTTCAAGGCACATTCTCCCTTGAAAAAAGTCTACCACAATATAAAGGGCACATCTCCCTTGAACAAAGTCTACCCACAATATAAAGGCACCTCTCCTTGAAAAAAGTCTACCCACAAGATCAAGGAAACCTCCCCTTTGAAAAAAAGTTCCCCACAAGATAAAGGCACCTCCCCCTTTTTGAACAAAGTTCCCAAAGATAAAGGCACCTCCCTTGAACAAAGTCTCCCACAAGATCAGGCACCTTCCCTTAAAACAAATCTACCCAAAAGATCAAGGCACCTCCCCTTGAACAAAGTTACCCAAACATTTATCACGATGTAAACACAATATCTGTGTGCTTTCAGATTTTTTTTTCCTCGTCAATGATTTGTTGAGTTCGTTTTACCCCGGGCTTTTTTTGGGAAAAACGTCTCCTGAAGACGTTCCGGGGGTCAATGTCCCTGGGCCCCGGGCCCCTTGATCAGGCCCCCTGGTTGATCGGGCCCGACAAGGCCCGATCCTTGGGGTGAGACCCTCCTTTTCGGTATCCAGTATTTTCCGTATATAAGGCGCCCCTTTCCCCCCAAATCTTGGAAAACAGCTGCCCTTATGCTAAAGGGTCAGAGAAAAGGGTTTGGCTCGGGGTTTATGCTTTGCAGTTGTTTAGTAATTTACTTTTAAAATGCTTGAAAAACGTCATCTTATATTCTCATATGGGGAAATATTTTTTTTAGGGGAGGGGTTGTGAAGGTGCCTAATTGGGCCAACAGGCCTGCTGCAGTGTTCCCCCTTTTTTATTACTATGCGCCCTTTTTGCCGGGAAAAAACGGTAACCACGGAATAAGTTTTGGTATACTGTAGGGAAAATTGCCAAGCCCAAATAACCCGGGTATAGGAGAAGGAGCTTACACGTCGATTCGGGCCACTTGGACCATTTAGGGCCTAGATTTACTGGCTCCCCTCCCTCCCGTTAGTGTGCTTTGTAAATGATCCAACTGGGGCCGAAACGTCGGGTAAGCTCCTCTCTCCTATGTGCGGGTTATCTATGTATTGTTCAGTCACGGGATTTTGCCCCTTTTTTTTTATTTGAATAGACTTTTTATCTGATTGGTATCTTTGAAGGGGGGGGGGGGGAAAGAACCTGACTAGGGGGTCATTGGGCTAATCCGGGGGGGGGGGGGGAAAGGGACTGGACCTGCTTTCATGGGTCAGTAGGCCCCTGCAGGTTCCCTTTTTTCTTATGTTCTAAACAACTCGTTCCCGCCTAAATTTGCATTTTTTTTAAAGCTGGGTGTAGGTAAGATTTGCTTCACTTGACCGGAAGAACGTAATAACTCTACGATTGATAAAAACGTATACGTTTTGGTAATGAAAGCTTCCTCCCTGGTTAAAATTTAATGTTATGGGGTTAAATTTTTTTTTAGTTAACGCGAATCCTTGGAATTTTTTTTAAAGACCAATCCTCAAGAATAGTTAAATCCAAAAAAATAAAAATTTTTTTATTATTTATAAATTTTTATTATTTTCTATTTTTTTCTTTTATTTTTCATTTTATGTTTATGGTACCAAGATCCCCATGTTCCTTGGTCTGGTCAAACCCTTTTGGCCCTGGTACCAAGATAACATTGTCCCTTTGGGCTGGGCCCCCCTTCATGGCCCCTGGTACCAAAAATAACATTGTCTCTTGGTTTGGGCACCCATGGCCTTGGTACCCAAAATAACTTGTCTCCCTTTTTGGTCCACCTTTATGGCCTTGGTACCAAGATAACATTGTCTCCTTGGTCGGTCAACCTTATGATCTGGTACCAATAAAAATTGTCTCCTTGGTCTGGTAACCTTTGGCCCCTGGTACCAAGATCCACTGTCTCCTTGGTCGGTCCACCTTCAGGCCTCTGGTCCAAGTCACACTGTCTCCCTTTGGTCGGTCAACCTTCATGGCCTTGGTACCAAGATCACACTGTCTCCTTGGTCTGGTTTCCCCCTTTTATGGCCTCTGGTGCCAAGTTCACACTTTGTCTCCTTGGTCTGGTCAACCTTCATGGCCTCTGGTACCAAGATAACATTGTCTCCTTGGTCTGGTCAACCTTCATGGCCTCTGGTACCAAGATAACATTGTCTCCTTGGTCTGGGCAACCCTTTATGCCTCTGGTCCAAGATAACATTTTCTCCTTGGGTTGGGCAACCTTCATGGGCCCCTGGTACCAAGATCACACTGCTCCTTGGTTGGGGCCACCTTCTGGCCCCCCTGGTGCCCAAAATTTACACTGTTCCTTGGTGGTCAACCTTCATGGCCTCTGGTACCAAGATAACATTGTCTCCTTGGTCTGGTCAACCTTCATGGCCTCTGGTACCAAGATAACATTGTCTCCTTGGTCTGGTCAACCTTCATGGCCTCTGGTACCAAGATAACATTTCTCCCTTTGGGCTGGTCAACCTTTATGGCTCTGGGGACCAAGATCACATTCTCCTTGGTTGGTCCACCTTCAGGCCTCTGGTACCAAAATCAACTGTCCCTTTGGGCGGTCCACCTTCATGGCCTCTGTACCAAATAACATTGTCTCCCTTTGGGCTGGTCCCTTTCATGGCCCTGGTACCCAAAACACATTGTCTCTTTGGTCTGGTCCACCTTCATGGGGCCCTGGTCCAAATCACATTTTCTTTTGGTCTGGTCCACCTTCATGGCCTTGGTACCAAGATCACTTTTTCTCCCCCGGTTTTTTCCACTTTTATGGCCCCTGGTACCAAGATCCATTGTCTCTTTGGTTGGGCCATTTCATGGCCTCTGGTACCCAAAATCACATTTTTCTCTTTGGTCTGGTCCACCTTCATGGCCCTGGTACCCAAAATCACATTGTTCCCTGGTTTTGGTCCACTTTCATGGCCTCTGGTACCAAGATCACATTGTCTCTTTGGTCTGGTCCACTTTCATGGCCTCTGGTACCAAGATCACATTGTCTCTTTGGTCTGGTCCACCTTCATGGCCTCTGGTACCAAGATCACATTGTCTCTTTGGTCTGGGGCCACCTTTAGGGGCCCCTGGTCCCAAAATAACATTGTTCCCCCTTTGGGTTTGGTCCACCTTCATGGCCTCTTGGTACCCAAAATAAAATTGTTCCGGTCGGTCCACTTTCATGGCCCCTTTGGGACCAAGTAACATTTTCTCCCTTTGGGCTGGTCAACCTTTATGGCCTCTGGTACCCAAAATAAATTGTTCCTTGGCTGGTCAACCTTTATGGCCCTGGTACCAAGATAACATTGTCTCCTTGGTCGGTCAAACCTTTATGGCCTCTGGTACAAGAAACTTGCTCCTTGGGCTGGTCAACCTTCATGGCTTCTGGAACCAAAATAAAATTTTCTCCTTGGTCTGGTCAACCTTCATGGCCCCTGGGACGAAAATAACATTTTCTCCTTGGTCCCCAAAAACATTGCTCCTTGGTCTGGTAAAACCTTTTGGCCTTGGTACCAAGATAAATTGTCTCCCTTTGGGCTGGGGCAACCTTATGGCCCTCTGGGACCAAGATACATTTCTCCTTGGTTGGGCAACCTTCATGGCCTTGGTACCAAGATAAAAATTGTTCCTTGGGCTGGTCAACCCCTTTATGGCCTCTGGTACCAAGATAACATTTTCTCCTTGGTCTGGTCAACCTTATGGCCTCTGGTACCCCAAAATAACATTTTCTCCTTGGCTGGTCCACCTTTGGTATCGAGTCATTCATTTTAAACGTTTAAACCGGGTGAAATACTCTCACCAACCTCTTCCCCCAAAAGGGGTTTCTTCGTGTTTGAGAAAGAGAGAGAGAACCATTCGTACAGCATTATGATGCAACGAGATAGTCAGTTGATCAGATGAAAATGCTGGCCCACAGATGGCTCCAACTTCATCCTGTTCCCTACTTGTATATTTCATAAAAAAAAAATGCTTTCAAATGAGGTGAAGTAGGTAACAGCTCTTAGCTTGCCAATAATGTTAGGAGTCCTTAACCTGTAAACAGCTTGTCAATAAAGCTAGAGATCCTTAACCTAACCTTGTCAAACCCTGTGTAAAAGAGAGAGAGAGAGAGAGATGGGACAGGGGAAGGAGGAGGGAAGGAAGGAAGGTATGGAGGTAGGGAGAGGGAGCAAGAAGGGAGGGAGAGAGGGACAACAAAGGGAGAGGGAGAGAGAAATAGGGATGGGGGGCAGTATATAAATAAAGGTTGTGGATGTTTCAGGAAGGTATAAACATATTCTTGACTAGGGGTAAGCAGGTGACAAGCGGCAGTCGATAGGCTTTAAACCTCTTATTAACAACCAAGCACGAGCAGTATTTGAACTAAAGGTAAGAACAAGCCAGTAATGAAGCCAGAATGGGTGTGGCTTGGATTCTATCATGCACAAGCATCATCAAGGAGAAGCACTAAGCCCGTAGGGAAGGAAATCATGCGTGGTCTAGGAAAGGGGACAACAGTTCCAATGACTTGGATCAAAATCCCGTTCACTAATCTCAATGCCACTTTTCCCCCTGGAAGGACTAGGCTCAAATGCGTGGGTAGGAGTCGTTAGATATGAGTAAGACTTGCCTAGTATGGGCCAGTGGGCCTCCTGCAGTGTTCTTCAATTCTTATCTGATCAGGAAACGTTTCGCTACAAGTGGCTTTATGGAACTTTGAGAAAACTTAATTGAGAATACGTTTTATTTACCAGGGACTTTGTCAACAAAGTCCCTGGTGGGCGAAACATCTCAATAAAATTCTACAAGGCGCATATTGTGTGGTACATCAACAGTTTTCTACCCACTGGTTCTCCAGTCGAGCGAAATGATATAAAATGTCGACACGATGGAAAGTAAATGCAGTATAATGCGTTCCTTAACTGACAACGTTTCGCTCACACAGTGGGATTTATCAAGTCACAAACAGATCTGAAGAATGAGACAGATATGCACGAGTTGGGTATATTTTATGTTCACTAAAACGTTTCACTTACACAGTAGACTTTGGTCACAGAGGCAGCAAGTCTGGTGGCAAAAGCTCTCGCTTCACACGGTGAGTGTCCGGGTTCGATTCCCGGCGAAGGGATGGAAACATTGGACATGTTTCTATACACCGGTTGTCTATGTTCACCCATCAGTAAAATGGGTACCTGGATGTTAGTGGACTGGCGTTGGTCACATCCTGGGACAAAACTGACCTAATTTGCCCGAAATGCTCAGCATAACAAGCGACTTTATATATAGTAATGATGTCATTGATGTCAGCTATGGTCTGTATACCTTGTACATGTACCTATAGTAAATAAAGATATTGATGGTCTCTTACAGAGACTCTGCTACATCATCAACTGGGTAACATTGCCAGTCAAGTATACAGACTTTCTACAAACAGTTGATTAGAGGTATTGAATTAAAGCTATCTCTTAGCTAGTTTTAGAAACAGGAGTTACATTGTAGTTTAGTTAAGACAGTTCTATACTTGTACTTGTCTTGTTCTTCTTCCTCTTCATCCTCTTCCCATCTTTCCGAAACTTTTAATACAAGTCTTCATGTTTCTTTTTGGTTTCGTCTTCCTTTAACACTGTTTTATTTCCAGGTGAGATTCTAAATGATCTCCTTTGCCTTTCCATTTGTCGTTCTCTCCCCTCTATACCCCTTCTTCACTTCACTCTCATCTCTGTCCCCTTCTTCGGCTGGTTTTCTCACCTCTGCACCTTCCCTCCATCATTCTTTCACCTTCCACCTTTCCTGGGCTGGCTGTGCTCCCACTGTATGCCACTTAAAGCTGTCATGACCAGAGCCTTCATGAAGTGGGCGGTCATGTGTTGATTTCACAACAAACTACTAACTCACTGCCTCTTTTCACATTACTTAATACGTTTTGCCCACTGCGACAACTCCTTTTGTCAGTGGTGTTGGGTGGGCGGTGGGTGGGTGTATGGGTTTTTCAGATGGATAGATGTAGCTGGGTGGGTGTATGGCTGTTGGTGGATAAGTGGGAGGTGGGGGAAGGGGGGGTTGATTAAGGTGGTTCTAGGTATGTACTGAACTTACGTCTCAGTGTGATCAAATGAGGTCGTTGTATAAACACTAACACAGGTACTACCATTCGAATCGACCCCCACAAGCACAAGTGCATGTTCCGTAGATAATTCTGTGTGGTCGTTGTAACTAATGTTGTGCAAGAATGGTATATAATACTGACAAGATGAAAGTAAGACACATGTGCAACATCTGGGTATCTTTATTGTAGACGTTTCGCCATCCAGTGGCTTTATCAATACAAATTCTAGGACATAGCTTGAAGACAGTAGAACTATGTACAGAAGATGAGGTAATCAGTCCCTCAACCTTGGAGTAGGTGTGAAGAGCACCGTAGTCGTGGAGATTCTGAAGCAGAAGCAAGGAGCCTGGCGCTTATATAGTAACGTCAGGTGTAGCAGACGAGGGCATAGTCACTGGTAGACGGGATTCCCCAGTGGAAGTAGGTCCTTCCCAAAGAGATGGGTTAGTTGTAGTAGTAGTTGTCGTAGTCTTGAAGGTTATGTACATGTCCTCAGAATCAAGATTCCATGATGTTGCAGTGTCTGACAAGTTGTGTAAGAATGGTATATAATACCGACAAGATGAAATTAAGACACATGTGCAACATCTGGGTATCTTTATTGTAGACGTTTCGCCATCCAGTGGCTTCAGAATCTCCACGACTATGGTGCTCTTCGCACCTACTCCTAGGTTGAGGGACTGATTACCTCATCTTCTGTATATAGTCCTACTGTCTTCAAGCTATGTCCTAGAATTTGTACTGATAAAGCCACTGGATGGCGAAACGTCTACAATAAAGATACCCAGATGTTGCACATGTCTTAATTTCATCGTAACTAATGTTAAATGACATAACAAGGACCAGATGTGGTCGTTAAGCGAACACTGCTGCCTTGACTCTGCTAACATTGCTCGTAAGTCCATATACATTTTCGCAATGCTGACCAAGACTATTTTAGACGTTTCGCTCAGCATTGTGCACAACATAGTGTGTCAGCATTGTCCTTATACCTGACTCACCAGAGGTCATTGTTATTACTCGATTTGCGATATTTAAGTTAGGTTAAATTGCCCTCGCAAAAATCATTCTGAACCTAACGAAAAATATATATTTCATTGTATTTGTTTATTGCTATATTATTGTAAACTTGTAAAAAAAAATATTTATTTGGATCAGGCTAAATTAAATTGCGCTTGTTGTAATAAGGTTAGGTAAGTTTTCTAAGGTTCTTTTGGCACAAAATCATTTTTTTATATTAACATAAATGAAAAAAAATCTCTAAATGTATAAGAGAATTTTAGAAAGTACCAGTTTTACCTATTCGGTACGACATTATTATTATATATATATATATATATATATATATATATATATATATATATATATATAATATATATATATATATATATATATTTCCTCTTATCTCCATGGGGAAGTGGAACAGAATTCTTCCTCCGTAAGCCATGCGTGTTGTAAGAGGCAACTAAAATGCCGGGAGCAAGGGGCTAGTAACCTCTTCTCCTGTATATATTACTAAATGTAAAAGGAGAAACTTTCGTTTTTCCTTTTGGGCCACCCCGCCTCGGTGGGATACGGCCGGTGTGTTGAAAGAAAGAATATATATATATATATATATATATATATATATATATATATATATATATATATATTATATAAATATATATATATATAATGTCGTGCCGAATATGTAAAACTGGTCAATTAGCAAGAACTC